CAGTGAGCCGCGATTAGAGCCAAAGTGGCCGTCTCGGTCCCGCCGTCGATCGCTTATTACACAGTCACTGGCAACACATTAGGGCGACGATTTGACAATTTGTCGCAGGCGAGCGCGACTAAAAACAATCATTGTCCGGCCAAAAGGTTCCCACTTCGGCGGCGGCTCACTCACTGCCTTGTGGGTCGGCCCCAATGGGGAGTTGCTGGTGCCACTGCCGCCGCCCCTCGATGGCGACATCGAACAATGATGATGGATATGAATGGTGAATGGGCAACTCGTCGGTAGTGAGGCTGTACGCCTTTAGCCCAAATCATGGGCACTGTAAATTTCAGGCCATTTGTCCGGATCTCTGGTCTCCGTCCGTCCGACTGACTTTATGGCGCATAATGAAGCGTTAAAATGTAACGCGCAACAGCAGCAGCAACAGCAGCAGCAGCAGCAGTTGTGGCCACAAACAACAATTACAAATGCCGCTTTACACTTGCCGCCTTACACCGCTGACGGAAGCATTTTTGTGGGTTTTTAGGGAAAGCATTTGGTGTTGGTGGCCAGCGCGTGTGAACCAAAGAAAGCGAAAAAGGGTCGAGAGATGGGATGCTGCGACTTACGCAAACCACACCAACCAAACTGACCAAACTGACCAAAGTCGGCTAGCAAAGCCGGCTTTATGTAATGCCAAATACAATGCCGTGCAATACAGATGCCGTATTTGCTGGGCCAAAGTCCAATTAGCACCAAACAGGAGAGACAGCTTGGCAAAAAAGCCGAGATTCTGGACAAGACATCATCATCATCGTGATCGTCACCGTGAATCGGCAGAATTCGATAAGGGGATTACACAAGCGCCAAACTTTGCCCAGCGGTGTGAATCACTATTTGGCAAATAATATTGGGCAACCTTTTGCAGATCCACACAAGGCCCATTGCCAATAAGCAATTCAGAATGTGTGCATATATAGAATATGGCAGTTTTGTTGATTTACAGATACCGGTTTTAAGGTTGTTTTTGCCCTCCTCTCTATTCAGTATTTTATTTAATTTGCCTGCCAAAATCAAAGTTCAACAAACCGCGCGTTTCGCGAGAAGAGTATAATTTCAAATTTGCTCTGAGCTTACAGATGGCCAGTTAATTTTGTTTACTTCCCAGCTTCAATATACACTGAGACCACCCAGATGGACATTACTTTTATTGCAATCCGGGCTTCAAATAATTCACTCGAAACGACGCCAATCGTTTGAGTGAGTTTTTGTATTCCAATCAGCTCTAGGAACTTAGCTAATGTGATATACTGAATCGGCTCATTAATGCAGCTGTGCTGCGCACTACTTGAAAAGCCATCAGCAGCGATGACTATCGAATATTTTGCGCCCACGCCCGAGCACTTGTTGGTGCGGCAGGTTCGTGTCTTAAGTCTTTTGTTTGCGCCTCGATAAAATCGCGAAAACAAGAAACCGCTTGCCAGCTTAGACATGACAAATTATGTCTTTGCATGATAGATCGAATTATGACAGATCAACTGGATAAACTGATTGGCGGCGGGCCCACCAAAGTCCGCCAATTATGAATGAAATTCCTCATGGTTCCGGAATTGGATTGAACTTCCTCTGGCCAACCTCTTGTTGAAAACTGGTTGCAAAGGCCGTGAGTGTCGGTTCTAACTGGAGCACCGCTCAGTGCCCCCGAAATATAAAAACATGCAGTCGGAAATGCAGCGACATAAACTGACGGAATTTTCGGACAGAGAGCCGGGTTAACAGAGCGACAATTAAATTTAATTGCGCTTAGAGGTCCAGTGGTCTATTGCTCCGCCTTTGGTTCAGCCAGCAAGTGCACTATAATGCGTGTTAAGTGTATACTATTTTCCTCTTAATGGATCTCACCCAGATAGTGTGAGAAAACGGGTTTTATGACGCTCATCGCTAGTAATTTTCCTTAATCAAATGGCATAAAATATGTGAAATTAAAACACCGGTGGCTGACCTACGTCAGCTGGCCAGGAAGAGCGCGATGCAAATTACTTAATAAGTGCTGTCGTTGTCTGGCATAATATCTGTCTATAATCGGTCAGATTTACACTTAATTCACACCTACGCCTTGCGACTTTCAACACACGGGAAAGCTTTAAAATTACCCAAAAACGCTGCTGCACCGGAAACGGCTGAATGCTTACAAGGTCGTGAATTACAATGAAAAAAAACCACGCACCTGAAAAATAACTATATTAAATATTTCTATATATGTTTTAAAGATAGATAAATTGGCAAATTATGTAGATCGAATGGGAAATTGAATTCATTCCGAATTGAAAGAAAGCTAAGGTCACAGTTATTAGAACAACTTTCAAAACTAGAAAATGTAACGATCTCCCATAAGCTCAAATACTTATTAATACAGAAATTTGCGAGATCTCATTGGAAATACTAACCAATTATTTTATTACATCAGGCATAAAAAAAAATGTTTAATGTTTAGCTACACTAAATCAAGTTTCTATGACTAACTTTATTACTTAAGAGTTTACGAATGTTTTAAAGAACATAAATTATGTGACACACATAAGGTAATTTGTTGAAAGTTATCACCACTTATGCCTGATGTAATTTTACCTTTTCCGTTAGAGTATCCGAAGATTGGTCTTTGTACTTTCGGGTTTTCCCCGCCGTCCTCAAATTCAATTAACTAGCACGCACCTAAAAAAGTGAAAATCTTCGCAGGGAGAGACTCTCTCGGTAAGTGAATCTTAATTAGATGCAATCACCGGAGACATTGTCGAGTTGCGGAGCAGACTCTTCCGGACTTTGTAATCCGCCAGACAGAGGCGGAAATCTCATTTTTTGGGCTAGCCCTGATCCGAATCCGAATCTGAATCTGAATCATCGTGACGGGTAGAGTCCGTCTTGAGACGCTTCACTGCCTGCCATCGAGAGCATTCCCGAGGTGCGCCAGGTGTGTTGTAGGAAGTTTTGCCAGTCATCATTGGCGAACACACGTGGAGTGGCTGAAATTTCAATAAATCTTGCAACATGGCTATCATGCGTCAGAAAGATGAAATAGCTTCACTGGAACCGGCAATTACACACTGCTGGCCACTCCCACACAAACAGTCGGTCACTAAGTTCACCTGGCCACCTAATGGTGGACTCGGTTCATTAATGGACAGGCGGCATGACGTTGCTTTCAACGCTCGATCGGCGCACAACTCCGATGATGATTGCTGACGTACTTAGCTGGCCAGGCGACAAATGAGCATTGTCTTTTGCCCCAAACCCCTCTTGTTCACCTGATTGGATGGACAAATATGTCTTGTTGGTGCTGCAAGTGCTTCGCCAGTCGAGAATGATGGATGAGCTGTTGGTGGCCAGTGGCGTAGTTGGGGCAACTAGCTGCCTAAACTCGAATTAAGGTGTTATGCAAAGAGTTAACGCTCTAGGCAATCTTAGAAAGAATTGGCACGACACAATGCAGCTCTAACCAGTCCAAATAAAAGTAACACAAGCCGAGAGGCATGGATTTTAGAGAGCAAATTGCATACAATTTCGTCTGCATAACCCGAACATTAAAAACACCCCGCTCTTAAATTCACATTCAAACACTAGGCAATTTTCAAATTTGTATAATTATTTACTAATAATTCAATAAACTTTATTGGGTATCGGTGAAGTCAAGGAAATTGGTTTTCGCTTTTAAATTGCAGGAAATAATAAGAAGGAGTATTTGATTAAAATAATTAGCTGGCTCTCCTTGCACTTTGTTTTAGCTCAAATATAAAAGCAGCCTTGGAACTTATGTTTTGTCTAGCCTTGTTCTCAATTCCATTTCCGCTAGAATTAAAAAGATATCCCTAACGGAAATTAATGGCAGAACAAGGCTACCAAGATATTTTATTTCACGTTAACTCAAGCAATTTTCCAGTTCTTAGCTGCTTGAAATATTTTCCTAATGACAGACGAAAACGAAGTCAGGAAAACGCTAGTGCAGATTTAACGGACTCCAATTACGGTTCAGTTTTACCATTATAATTGCAAATAAGTGAAACCTAGCTATAAATCAATAATTGAGTTATGGTATCGCTTTAATTGATTTAACAAATGCAGCTTTCAAAATCGCCAATTTCCCTTGACATTCCACCGTCCACACCGTCCGAACCGTCCACACATACGCCCCTGATCCGCTGAAATCAATTAAGTTAACCCTAACCCCTCCGTGGAATCGGAATCGGAATGGGAATCGCCTGCAACCCCCACTGCAATTAAGAGTAGCGCTGTTTTCTTTAATTGCCGCCAGTCGGGTATTTAACTATTTAAGCGGCGATTAACGCTCGCGGAACTGGTTTAGCTTTTCCTGGCATCCCCCTTTTGCCGATCTGTCCATGTATTCCATCTTCCATGTTAGTCAGTTAGTCAGTCAGTCGGTCAGGCTGTCCAATCGCTTCTAGATTGCTTTGTTTTGCTTTATTTTATTTCGTTTTGTTGTTTATCACATGGACAAGAGGCCGTTGCGGATTGCAACATCGCGGCCAGCCGGCTGCACCAGTTTTTTACTTGTGTTTTTATTTTTATTTTCGATGTATACATTTTTTGTTTTTGCGACTGGCATCGCAGAGTGCTAATCGACAATGGGAAATTACCGCGCGCAAATATGATAAAAACTCATGATTTTTCGCTAATGGGGAGCCCCGTACGGAAATTCGAGCAGTATGTTGTTTTGCTTAACTAGCTTAAGTCTCCTTTGTCTTTTTGGGCATTGCGCCATTTGATTGATTCGCTGCGAGGGAAGGTTTAATTAAAAGCAAAGCCAAACGCCCAGCACTCGCAATCAATCAGTTGTCCGCCTTTTTGAACTTTGCTGGCTTGCATTTGCCTGAAACGACAATGTTGCAATAACGAGCCACTAACTTATTGATTTGACACTTGATCTCGCCAAGCGGGGTGGCTGGCTGATTAGCCACTCCCTGTTAGCACACTTGACTAATCTTGTATCTTTCTGGTCTTTACAGGATTACCTCACAATGTTCTACGACGGCTGGCGGGATCTGATGGACAACAAATCGGATCCGCGAACACGAGACTACCCGCTCATGAGCTCGCCGTTCCCCACGATAGCCATCAGTCTGACATACGCCTATATCGTGAAGGTAAGTGGTCTGCGATTGGGGAACCACCGATCCATAATTACTGAAGTGGGGAAGAACGCAGATTCCTCTCGAACAAAACAAAAAATAAGAATCGAACAGAACAGAAGAGAACAGAACAACATCATTACGATAGGGGCAATTTATGTTGATTTTGTAGACCATAACTGGCAGATTCTCGTCTGGTTAATCACCAGGATCCTTTTCGCAAACTAGTTTCGCTTTATTGCATTGCGAAATGACTGCGACTGCGAAACCCGAGTTGGGGTTCAGGGCCATCCAATTTAAGCGACGATCCGGTGTCGAAAGGTGACCCAAACTCAAGCTGCGATTATGCAAAATTTCAAAAAATCAATTCGATAAACGATTTCTATTTAGGTTTTCCGCTTTGCATTGGTTCACGTTCATAATTTTACCAAAGCATTTAACTTACTTTCACATGTCTGCTAAAATCAAGCGGGATGAGGGATGAGCGGAATGGGGTAAGGGGTAAGGGGAAAGGGAAGAGCTAGCAACGGGGCGGCGGTTGGCCAAACAAAAGACTTAGGCAACGAACTTGTCACAAAACCAACAGACAAAGTCGGTCGCGTCGATTGATTTGATTTGATAATTGCTGCAACAGGCTTTGGCCTCTGTTTGATTATGTTAAGTGAAGAGGGTTTAGGGTTCCCGATTCGAGAGTTATGATGAAGAGGATGCACCTATGTACAGTGGAACTGATCGATGGTTCATTCCAGGTACTCGGACCCAAGCTCATGGAAAACAGAAAGCCTTTCGAGCTGCGCAAAGTCTTGATTGTCTACAATGCGGCGCAAGTTATCTTCAGTGCCTGGCTCTTTTACGAGGTAATATAAAATGCACTTAATAAGTAGATTCCCCAGTAAAATAACCACTTAACCACCTCCTCCTTCTGCATTTATAGTCCTGCATAGGCGGATGGCTGAACGGCTATAACTGGCGATGCGAGCCCGTTAATTATTCATACGCGCCGAAAGCGATTCGTGTAAGTATTTGTTTGGAAGCTCCTATATACCTCCTCCTATATAGTATATATAGCTCGTATCTAAGCAAATATGTACAGCCAAACATCGGGCTATAAATTTTTATTTTTTGCTCATGGCTGGCAAATAGCAAAGTTCTTTTGTCGACTGGGCCAGATTTTATGTAAGCAACCAGTTTTTGCCCGCGAAGCGACAAGAAGTTAGGCAAAATGGCATTAGCGACAGGTTCTCTTATGCTAATCACTAACAAAGAAATGGATGCCGAAAGCCGGCCGGCTGTGTGGCCAGTGGATTTGGTTTTGTGCGGATCGAGGAATCTCGATCTCACGTGTGTCGCCAGGCTGGCTAAAGTGGGTAAACGACCCAAAGAAAGTGGCGTTCATAGAAAGTTGACAGGCGAAAGATTTGGCAAATCACCCATTTTCTGTTATTGATAAGCTTGCCACTTGCCAACCGTTAGTTCCAGGTGTAAACGAAATCGATCTGCCAAGCCTCGACCTGTGTTTTTCGCCTAACAATCATCGGCTTAAACACAGAATGTGTATAAGCACAGATATTATTCTGGGCTAGTAGGATTTATGGCCAAGCTGATAGAGATTGGTATAAATAGAAAAAAGCATATATTAACACAGAACTCATTTAAATAAATTGTAGTTTGCTCTTTGTACATCTTAGTAATAACTATAATATAAATTAGAAATTTTGTATTAGCTTTTTAAATGTATTTATAGTAATGACAAAAACTTATTTTAACTAATTGTAGTTCACTCTTTGTACACCTCAGTAATAACTATGATATACATTATAATTTTTTTATTAACTTTTTAAACAGTATTTATAGTAAAGACAAATTAGTAAGCGAAAAAGCAGGGGGCAGAAGCATCGTAAAATTTGATTATAGGGTTTCAAAAAGATTTTCTTGGAATATAATATTAATATTATTTTTATTGTTATTACGATAAAAGGGTATTTCAATTGAAGAGAAAAACTGTATGGAATCAGTCCTAATAAAATAGTTTTTTCTGGGAATATTTTATTGGTAAAATGCGAGTTGGCTTAACGTTTGAAGTATGCTTATTAATCAAAATTTGTTCAACTAATTTTTTAGACCGCTGAGGGCTGCTGGTGGTACTACTTCTCCAAGTTCACCGAGTTCTTCGACACGTTCTTCTTCGTGATGCGCAAGCGGTACGACCAGGTGTCCACGCTGCACGTGATCCACCACGGAATCATGCCCGTGTCCGTCTGGTGGGGCGTCAAGTTCACTCCCGGTGGCCACTCGACCTTCTTCGGGTTCCTGAACACCTTCGTGCACATCTTCATGTACGCCTACTACATGCTGGCCGCCATGGGACCCAAGGTGCAGCGCTACCTGTGGTGGAAGAAGTACCTCACCGTGCTCCAGATGATCCAGTTCGTCCTCGTCATGGTGCACTCCTTCCAGCTGTTCTTCAGGAACGACTGCAACTACCCGATCGGATTCGCCTACTTCATCGGCGCCCACGCGGTGATGTTCTACTTCCTCTTCTCCAACTTCTACAAGCGTGCCTATGTGAAACGCGATGGCAAGGTGAGCTACATTATATATATATATTTTACAATATTTTACAGGTTAATAATAGTTATGGAACAGAAATTCGAAGTATAAGATCTTTCTGACACCTCAAGGATATAGTATGTAGTATGAAAAAAAGAGCAGAAATATAAAACAGAAGCTCTAGCAGACACTTTAGCGTTGCCAGAATGTAATTTAAAGGTTGTTTATTTTCAATGCCTTCTTAAGTAAATTTTGCATAGATTTTACAACTAGAATCAATTTAAACATTTAAAATAGGTACAGTGAAGCTTGACATACACTTTTTTACATCAAATGATTTCTCTAATATTACAATTGATCTGTAGAAACTTGTTTAATTTTTTATTTTTAATATGACGCTAAATCTATAGAAGTTCTCAAACACCTCAAACAATTTAAATGAAATTTACTTTTCGGTTTCTTTATTTTTATTGTCTTCACAAATTATTTTGCATATAATATTAACTTGTGTAGATTTTGAGGAACTGAGTATAGTTTATTAAATATTACAGACTGTATTTCTATTTGATATTTCTTCATCTTACAGAATGCATTTTAATAAATTCTTTCTTTTGCAGGACAAGCCGGCTGTGAAGGCGAACGGACATGCCAACGGACATGCCAACGGACATGCCAACGGACACGTGAAGGCCCACAAGGACGGCGAGGTGGCGCCCGCCAAGAACGGCCAGGCCAACGGCTTCCACAACTCCTTCTCGAAGTTCACCACGGAGATGTGCAATCCGGCCCTGAACTCCGCGGCGAGACAGCGCGTGCTCGTGAACGCCGGCAACAAATGAGCCCGCCAGCCAACCAGCCAGCAAGCCAGCCAGCCAAACATGAAACACACATAACATAAATTAATTACGCTACCAATTAAATTACCGTACATTTAAATTACACGTAAGAATAGGGAGTCCAAGCCTACATCTAAGCCAAATCGAATTCGCAATCAAGATCAATTAAAGACAAGGAAACAAAAACATTATTTCATGGACAATCCATGGTGATCGCACGTAAGGATCACACACTGCTGGCAAACCGCTCTGTTTATTAATCATTCCTCAAACATAAGCACTATATACCCATGATCAGCCCCCAAACGCTTTCCACATCCCGTCATCCATGTGCATGTACATAGAAAGTTCATAGCTGCCGAGAATCTTGGAGGCACTCGCGACGAGTGCGACATTCATCTAATTTTAATGCTATAAAATATAAACTTGGGATGGAGGCGATGGTCCATTGAGTGAGTCCATCGCTCCTTCGCCAAGTTGATCCGCTTTAAATGTCTATCGCTTTATACTTTTGTATTTTTGGTCATGCAAGCGACCCTTTTTAAGCCGTGTATATTATTTCTGTGGATTGTTTTGAACAAAGAAATGTGTTTTTATTTTATAAATAAATTCGAGATTAAAACGTAGTGGAGCAGTTTTTGTTTGGAAATCGATGTTAGAGAATTCAGAACATTCTTTTACTACTATTGGGGTTGTTTTATTTCAAAGGGTTCAGATCTTTCTTTATCTTTACAATCCCATTTTGACAAATTATTAACTCGGTTTAAACGAAGTGTTTAATGAATTCGCAACTGATATCAGACAAGTTTGGTTCACCAAGTCGCCACCTTGGTTTCGTGAACAGTACTTGAAGTGGCAGTCCGTTTTACTTTAAACTCATTCGAGAAATTTAAAAAGAGAATACTTTCAGGATCGTTGGCTGTGTAAAATGTCAGTTAAAATGGAAAACAGTTTTAAAGCTACTAAATTCTGAAAGAATGTTGATCAGCGAGAATATCAGTTAAACAGTACATAATGGATTTGCTGCGACTTGTAAAGGGATAAAGTTAAAAACAAAAATTTCAACTTTAAGCAAAAATAGCTTACAATTGGATACTTAGGCTGAAAGAATCATTGCTTAGAGATTTACCCTAGTTGGTATAGTTACTTGACGGGCCCCTATTTTAACTATTTATTACTGGTTCAGTTTCGAATTTTTTTAGGGCTGTACATACAAATTAAATGTTTTATTGAAGTGCACCAATATGTTATAATAAATATGTTTTATTTATTACCAACTAGTGCAGACTGCCACGATTTTGTTCTTTTATAAAAAACACTTGTAGCCCTGAAGAAACGGTATTAGCAATATGTTAAACAATTTATTTCTATGAAATCTGCAAGAATCATTATCAATCATTAGTTATAAAGCTTGAATTTCTTGACAGAGTTTTAATCGTGAAGATCTAATGTACCACATACGTTTACACCAGGCAGTTTACCTAAAAGCCAACAAATATGTATGCCAACATATGGTTTATTTTCCTAAACACTTTTAGAACAGATTCAGAAACAGAATTAAATATTACAAGGTGAAAGGCAGCGATGAATGTATCTGCAATGCAATGTTACTTTCAAAAACAATGTTACAATTCGGCACTGTACTTTCGGTAAGACAATGAAGAGAATCAGTGATAAGAGAGTTTCGAACCGGATTTAGGTTGCCTTGCTTCCTTTTGTTCCAGAGGTAATTGACCTTGCAAAGGACTGAGACAAAGTAACCACGCCCCGAAAGAAATCTGAAAATTAAAGTTAAGTTCTTACAGGAATAGTAGGCATGTCATGCCATTATGGTTAATGAGCAAGTGCATGGGCCTACATCTTCGGACGGAGTTCTCAAAAAAATGCGAACCAGCAGAACCTTGTACTTTGAATTTATGCAAATTATTAACCAATACTTTGTTGGCAGTAAGCAGGCAGGAACGCGGACACGACGTCATGCATAATTATTTCATTAGGAGCTAATGAACAGCATCCGATCGACTCGAATTACCTAGGGACAGTATGATGTTACAGTCCATTCGAAATATTATGCATGATCACCGAGTACCGCGAATGATTCGCTCCCAAAGCCTTTATTATTGTTTTTCGACCAGGGATGAGTTTATATGTCGGCACTGCATTCTTGGTACATCGAACTAACTTCATTTGCAGGTCAATGATTTCCGCTCATTATAAGTCAGTACTTTGAATTACTCTAATAAGAATGTACTGCAAAGGACCAACAAATCACCTCTTAATGTGTGTACTTCGTTTGAACGGTTTGAGAGTATGAAATAACTTAACCATGTTAAAGAGCCGTTTAAAAACTGCTTAATCAAATTAGCCATAGGTGTTAGCCATAAAATGAAATTATGCGAGGGGAAAAACATTTCTAGATCCACAGAATAAAAACGGATAGCGAAAAAGATGGTAAAGTGGCGCTTAGTAGTTTTTATAAAATGGTATTCATTTTATTTTTTAGCACCTTGTATCTACCTTATTGGCATTCTGCTTTCTGCTAGTAATTTTGCCCAACTTTATGGATGCTCGAAAAACTGGTCACCATGTGCACCCAAGAGGTTTAGTAAAACACAGGCGCATCCATCGGAGAACCAATCAAACTGCAGCTGAAACAACCCAACCTGAATCAGGGGATCTTACGGAAAAGTTCTATAATCACTGCGATGATATATTTAGGGAGAGCTCGTTGGTTAGTCACGTGATCCGTGGCATGATCGGAGGAATTTCGGATCGACTCAATGAAGTGTGTGTGGGCAAGCCCATTCATCCAATTATCCACACACTCTTCACGGAAACTCTTCTGTGTGAAGGCAGCTTATCCGAAGCCATCGACAGTATCGTCGACGTTCTGTTTTCGCAATTCGACAGAAAATGTGAGGAAATAACTAACTTCCAGAGTATTTATGTTTTAACCGTTGCGGAAAATGAGGTTGTAAAGACACATGGTGCAGATTAAGCAAGGTTTTTTATTTGAAAAATAAAGAACAATACCTTAATTCTAAAAAGAGGCTGTAGTTTTCAATAGCCTTTAAGTCAATTATATAGCTTCCAAGCTAATACTGTTTAATAGTTTTGACCGGAATTCAATTTTAAATATATTAACTGTAATAGGTGGTATTCTATAATAACATCATAACATTGAAATGCTCACTATCTTTAATAATTAAGCTCAAAAACCGATTATCCTAGACTGATCACTAATTGTACAACTCCTACTCTCCAGATACCAATTACAAATTCCGGTTCAGTTCCTCATAAAATCATTTTCAGCTGGGTTATTCGTTCTTTTCGGTGGCGGGCTCTTCCGCACCGGGAACCAAGTTCTTGAGGAAGTTCAGGGATCTGGCGAAGCGTTCTCCAGCCTCGTCCACACTGGGAAGAATTGCCTCCAACAGAATGGGTACTACTTGCTCGCCTACGGATTGAAAGAGCTCAGCGAACTTGATTATGACGGCGGGATCTGGCAAACCTGGAATGCCCGCTCGAGCCAGTGGAGTGTTGTCCGTGTTCACCTCCCGCCGCCTGCGTCGGTTCTCCTCCGAGTCCTCGACTGTTTCCTCGGAGGAGGAGTCATCGTCGTCGCCATCGCCGTCCGGCTTGATCACCACCTCCGTCTCCTCGCCGGCAACCGTGATCACATCCTGGTGAGAAGGTGGAACATTCAGACTTGAATTGGTTATCCTCTTCAATCAATCACCTGCGGCTTGGCCTGCGATTGGGTCACCACTTGGAGCATCACCAGGAGGAATCCGCAGAGCAGCAGCTGTCGTCCCATGTGGAAACCCATTTTGTCAACTTGCTTGGATTTTGTGCACCCGCCCGCCTTATTTATAGCTCCCACTTAATGAGCTAATGACATTTGCATGTCGCCTGTCGAAAACCGAGGTAATGCAGGGTCAAAATTGATCAATTTTTGTGTGGCCCAGCTACACTAATTTAAGTTCTAGCCGACAACCTTGTGGAGTCGGCAGACTCTGTTCAAACACGCGGCAACGCAGCGAATTTTGGCCAGGAATGCGCCGACGAGTGCAGTTTTTGCCCCGTTCGGTGGCTGGGCAGAAAACCCGCTCGAACCACTTGGCAGTTGGGCAAGCGAGAAAGCTCAGGTAAGCTGCCACGCAGACAGGTAGTTTTTGGGCCCGGCTAAATCGCCGCCGGCCATAAATCGTACTTACGCACACGGAACGCGATTCCTTCAAAGGTATAATTAAATCAAACTCGGGCAGCGATTCCGATCGGGGCTGTGCCCCTGGGAGCGATGCACTGGCACTGCCGAGCTGCAACTTCAGTTGCGAATCGGACTCTTGCCGGGCAGGTTGCAGTGAAAGATACGAAACAGTGGCAAGCAAGTGAACCTAAGCTAGTTTGTCGGATTGTGAAATAGTTGAAAACAGGATATTTGGTTGGCCTTTAGTCCATATCCATATTGTAATTGTGTGTTTATTATTTGAAAAAGATAACACATAATTGGTTATCCGTGTATATTTAATAACATAAACATCTTTGTTTTAAATTTGGCATTTAGACTAACATAATAATTTATTAAGTGTTAAGATAAATTTATTAAGTGTTAAGATCAAATTTGTTAATAAAAAACTAAGGTAAAGTTAAATAAAACAAGTTTAATTAGCCAAACCGAAACCGTAAAATTTGTTTCTTTTTAAGTCTTACAAGAAAAAAATTTCTCTTTACAGAGTTAAAACAAGTAAACCTTGTTAAACTAAGAAAATAATAATGAATTTATTTTCCCGCTTGAAAAGATTGGGTGGTGGTGCCAGCAAGGTAAGTTAATCCGAATGATTTATTTTTTATTTAATCATAAGCAATTCTATTGCAGACATCTGTTACACTCCCCGTTGCTGGTAAGTTTTTCAGATCGAACAATTCGAATTTCGCGCCATCAGTTTTGTAGCAATTTTTGTTTGTGAGGCTGCTCGCATTTCTGTTAAGAACTTTTTTAGCGAAAGCGCCTCTATCGGACAAAAGATGTCCTATCGATAAAGCAATCGAAGGAGTGATTTTTATCGAACAATCTATCCAGCTCTAATTTGTACAGAATTTTTCAACGTTTAAGTCGCTAATTTTGCTGCGGTCTATTTTAGGCGTGCCAGAAAGTCCAATCAACGCAGCTGCTCAGAACCCAACAGATTCCGCTGAAGTTTACAAAAGCATAGCTGAAGACAAGTTTCTGGCAGCCAGTTCAAACACGGAGAAAGGTAATTAAACAAAGCAATCATATCTACGGGCAAGAAAATTGAATGGCTGACGTAACAATACTTCCAATTTTCACTGGAAACGCGGAAAAATGTATCTAAGTATCTATATTTAAAGTGTACGTATATGTGGCATTCTTGTGTGTGTGCCTGGGGTTGAGTGGGTGTATGGGGTCGCCTTATCAGCAACGAGAGATAAGAGAAGTGATATTGATTTGGCCCAGCTCAAAGCCAAGCCATTCAATTTCCCTTTTTCGAGGCGCAAACTCAACTCGTGGCTCTTTTCGAATGACGTCAGCAAGGCATCCATGCGAAAATCCCAGATGAAAAACTGGGAGTTTCCTCCTCCCCTTCCCTTTTGAACAATGTGAATTCGTGGCTTGGGTTTTGATTCCAACATAACCTTACAAAGCTTGCTCTGTTCTCCAGTGAAAGTCACAACTTGTGAGCTTTACTTTTAAGCGTAATTGAAACTGATTAGAGCCAATTAACCATTGTTGCCTCGTTTACTTTCCAGTCGACATGGTCCAGGATGAGAAGGTGGCCTCCAATGATGGAGCCGACGAGCAGATGCTGGGCGCCAACGGAGTAGACGACAAGCTGGCCGAGCGCCGGGATGAAGTGAAGTTCATCAAGGGCGATTACCAGAATGGAGACGCCAAAATCGACATTGGGACAGTCAACGGGGGCAAGCCAGTAAGTAGAAGACTATAATATCTTATTACATCTCGATTATTTGTTGAAAAAATTAATTTGTAATCTAATGCATAAACAATTAATTTAACAATTAGGTAGCTAAAATTCCCATAAAAGTCATAACTTTTTGTTAAATAAAAAAATTAAATCTATATTTGACCTTTACATCACCTTGAACGCACATTTATTTTTATTTATAATAAAGTTATATACACACAAGTTCGATTTATAGACATCCACTTATAGATCTTTTATATTAAAAATAACGTACCATTGACTAGTATAATTTCCTTAAAATTAGGTATCATATATAAATGTTAAACAGGAGTATGTATAAACATTTTCTCTTACCCTGTATTTTCTCATTGCAGGCCTTCACCGGCATGAGCAAGGAGGAGCTCATGAAGTACGCCAACGATCCTTTCTGGGTGAGACTTCGTTGGATCTTCTTCGTGTGCTTCTGGGCCATCTGGGTGGGCATGTTGGTGGGTGCCATTCTGATCATCATCGGAGCTCCCAAGTGCGCTGCCCCGCAACCATTGCCCTGGTACAAGCGCGGACCTCATGCCAAGTTCGCCAGCATTGAGCACTGCAAGCCGGAGGATGTTCAGATTGCAAACAAGATCGTTGCCAGCGGTGTCATCTACGAGCTGCCAGCTGCTCTGACCTACGACGTGAAGAAGCCCGAGTTGAAAGAGAAGATCAAGCATTTGGTGAGCCTCTACAGCGGCAGCGATACCAAGGTGATCCTCGACCTTACCCCCAACTACGTGGCCAAGGAATCGCAGCTGGTAAAAGATGCAGCTGCAAACCCGCAGGCGCGCTCCGCCTTTGTTTGGGTGACTGGCAGAACCTCCGAGCCGAACAACTGGCTAAAGGTTGGCGGCAATAGCAGCGCCTGGGAGAAGTACGACGATAGCTACGTGCTGTCGCAGTTCCAAAATGGCTACTACGACCTTAAGATGAACAGTACGATCGTAAGGAACGAACTCGGGTCAGTTTTGCGCCATCTGGTGGGCTTGGGCGTTAGCGGCTTCCGCCTGAAGAACACCAAGTTCTTCGTACTCTCCGACGGTCTGGATAATGAGTTGACATCGGCGGTTCCCAAGGACTTTAATCTGGGACCGAATGACTACGGCTTTTACGACCACAAGCAGACCACCTTCCACTCCGGCCTGGGTGATGTCCTCTATGACTATCTCAGCATCGTGAAGAACGCTTCCGCAGATGCTTTCCTCTCGGTTGCGGAGGATGTGATCCAGCCGCAGGTGTACCAGTTGAGCCAGGTTCCTGGAGCTTACGGCATCGACCTGCCCATTTACGGTGACTTTGTCAAGGTGCTCAGCAACCCGAAGCCGGGAAAATCGCTGGAGAAGGATCTCGAGAACACTCTCTTCCAGGCAGGCCAAGACTCCTGGCTGCAGTGGAACTTCGAGGATGTGGATGTGAACACCGTGCAGGATCCATCCGCACTGGCCATGTTCCTCTCCCTGCTGCCGGGCGTGCCCGTGGTTTCTGTGAACGCCGTGGAGTACCAGGATGTGTCCCAGGAGATCTACAAACAGATTGCCAGCCTGCGCAGGTCTGCATCCTACATGCACGGTGAACTGAAACTGGTCAAAGCCGATCCGCTGGTGGCCTACTCCAGGTAATTACACAATTTGCTGATTATCCTTTTTAAAATTCTACTAACGTTTATTCAATTTAACATGCTTGCCACTTGAAGGCAGAGGTAAAACCATTAACCTATCCCTTACTAAAATTGTTTGTGGAACCGATAATGAATTCATTTAGCTTTTCATAAAATTAAACTCAATATTATTTGGGTTTTGTTTATGATTACAGAATCATAATTTGAAATCATACAAGAAACACATTTATTCTTTTCGATTTCTACAATACCCAATCATTGAAAATTATAAAATATATAGCTTTAGTTACGTTAACTAACCGAGTTAATGTATTTTTTCGCAGGATTAAGTCTGGAAACCCCGGCTACTTCGTCATTTTCAATCCCACCGACTTGCCACAAGCGGGCAACTTCAGTGCCACAGATCTGCCAAAAAAGATGACTGTGTCCTATTTCAGCGAGAATTACAACAAGGTCAACGAATCCGCCACTGTGACACACTCGGCCAAGGTGAATCTCCAGGATCTCAAGGTGTCCCCGCACTCCAGCATTATCCTGACCTACGTGCCGGAGAATAAGGAGTAAACTCGTTGTTTCCGCAACAGTACAGCAGCATAAATATTGCGTAAAGGCACATATACAATTTATGTATACCACAAGAGTAACTTGCTTTGTTAACCATTGAGATTTGAAGCCGCCAAACAAAATGAATTAAATTATTTGTTGAGAACCTGTAAGGGTTCTTTTGCTATTCAGCTTGCTAAAAAATAAATTAAATATTGCTTGCATTTAAAAAAACGGTGCTTTTAATGGGGTTTGAATTCTTAAATGGGTTCTGAAGACGTATAATTTTTAAAATGAAATATTTTTTTTAAATTTGAATGAGGCTGGATTGGCAATGTCTGGCAGCATTAGTTAGGGCTTAAGTCCGATGTGGCAACGTCAACGTCTGGTAGCCGCAACAGAATGGCAACATTATTTAACGATAAATTCGAATTCAAAATGGTTTAGCACGGAATCATGCTATTTGAAACCACTCTGTGGGAATCTATAGCGAGGATCGCGTGGGACTCCTATTCAAAGTTGATCAGACAGCTCAGTTGGAATTTAAAAGTTTTCCTTTTTAAATTTAATACGCAAAGGTGGAAAGAAACTAAAGTATTTGGCCTTTGTGGAAAAGTTTGAGTGCCCGAAGAAAATAGCTGGCATGTGCATGTGGCATACGTGTTTGAGCCAACTTTGAGATACAAATAGTTTGGGTGAGCTGGCGAAAACAAAAGTCTGTGCGGGCAGCCACAGACAAATAATCAAAATCGACAAACGAAATGAGCCAAAAACAAAGCGGCCAAAATGTTTTTAGTTTGCACAGTCCTGGCGCTGAATGGCAGCTCGGGGAGCTTGGGGAGCATACCACCACCAAACCCACTGCCAAAGGCCAAAAGGATATGCGCACGTGCTAATGTGATTAGATACACAAACACTAGCACTCTGCAAAAGGCGACTTGTTCGAGGAACCGCAACATGCAGTGCAGTTGATTGCGGCAAGCCAACTACAATAACAAGAAAACTCGACGACCGAAAAAGCAACTTCACGTCGGGTATCTCTGAGATGCAAACTATTGTTGCGCAGGTCATCATCATCGGCAATATAATCATCATCTTGGGGCCGAAACTTCTGGACTGGCATTCCCCCGGTTTTCCACACATCACTCCCCCATCTCCCCCTTCTCCGCCTCCTCTTAACCACCCACCCACAAATTTGAACCCGGCCTTGTGCGCTGCGAAATTATTTTGTCGCTACAACTTTTCCATCAGGCAGTCATCAAATGCAGCACCAACCCTTCAGGACAGGTCAACCCGGCTGGCCACTGATTTAATTGCAATGTGCAACACATCTGCTCCGATGTCACCGAAATAAGGTGCAAGAAGGGGAAATGGGAAAACTGATTTTAAATAAAGTTTTCATTAGGCTTAAGGTTGAATTGATTTCGCTGAAATGCTTTGATTGAACACGAATCATAAAGACCATTGACATAATTTATAACGACCGATGACATGTTAATGTTCAATCGGTTTGTTTGTTGCAAACGAAAAAATCTAAAATTGTCACATGACCGAAATCGGCTTTCAGCCAAAAAAAAACGATTTACATAAGTAGGTTACAACACAAAAAAAAGAAGAAAACATTGGTATGAAATTACATTCTGGGATAAAAAAAATTGTTTTGCAATATGGAAGCGAGTAGGCGTAATCTTATGCGCGTTGCACTCGATGTTACCACTTTTTTTGTAAAGGTGCCTGCTATTGAAGGAAGGATCAGTGTAAATAAGCCCAAAGAAAAACACAATATTCGTATTAATAGTCTCCGTCACGATCTGCCTTCCTTCATAGCGAATCTGGAATAATAAGGGCAAGAGGGCGTAGTCATGTTCCATGTTGCATGCCTCCTCCTCCTAGTTGATTAATTAAATTTTAGTGGATGCGAATATAAACATAAATAAGAATGCATTTTGAGAGTAATTGCTATGGTAGGAAAATAAACTGTAATTTAATTCACCGCACGGCTAGGAAACTCAAGAGGAAGGAACCATCTGCTGACCCTTTTAATAGGTGTCATAGATAATACTCACGATAGGGGTTCAAGTTTCACAACCTAGTGCAACATTCCTTTGAAGGCTTACAACGGATTATTCGCACCCGCAAGAACAACTCAATTCGAAGGGCAAAAACAACAAAATGAGTCGGCTAATTTGTATTGATTTTTTATGGGACACGCGATCTCACGTTTATTTTTATTTTTTTTTTTTTGTCTTGTTTCCTCTACTTTTTTAGCTCTATGTTGTTGGTGCGTTGGTCTGTTTGTTTTGAACTTTCCCATGCATAAATTTTGCATATTAATTGAGCGACTGTCATCAATATGTCTGTGCCAAGCCCGGAACCCCCAAATCGCCCACCCCCCGGGCTTTGCCTCATCACAGCACGGCATCATTAGTTGGCCTAAAAAATCCCATCAGGCTTTGATTAACATTTTGTGCACACAAATGCCGAACAAATGGGAGAGCGGCTAAATGAGTTGCATCTAATTGAGTGACAAACACGCCACAAACAACATGCCACACAGCAAAACAGAACACAACACAACACAACACAGCATCGACATCCATCCACCTCTCACAAACTGTGCCAATTTGTTTTAAAATGCATCACCCTGGCGCTCAATCAGGCCGGAACTCATCCCACTCCAGAGCCCCAGAATCCCATGTCCAGTGCCTGCTCTCGACTGTTTTTCAATTTGCATGCAAGCGTAAATTACTCTCGGTCCGAGACCCCTTACCCCTTACACTGCCCGCACTTCAACTTCGTCCAACCAACCAACAACCATCCTTTAGCATTCATCCTCATACTCATCCTCATCCTCATCCTCGACACGGACTCGGATTCCTCCCGCTGGTCGGCTAAAAGGTTTGTCCTTTGGTTGCGTTCTATATGCAGATTGCCTCCGCTTTCGAGGACTGCTCCATTCTTCCCCCTTGTTTTTGTTGGCTGTCGGAATCTTGTGCGACTGGTTGCTTTAAATACCTCTGCGTATCTTGGTTATGAACATAAAACACGTTTTTTGGCACCCCATTTGTCATTAAGCTACCAATTTGTTCGGCTTCAAAAAACATCTCAAATTCCCCCATCGATTGGCCGAAAGGGGGGAGCTGAAAATTAACAAGGTTAAGAGGCAGAAGAAGATCAAAAAGGAAGCGGCGAGTCTTCGGGGGCTGTCTTCAAGCCTGCCCGAAAAAGGTAAATATGCCTAAATATTATAATTGGAACACGCATTATGAAAACATGTTTTTGATTAAAAATTTAAGATACATTTAATATAGGTATTTTGATGGGATTTTATATAAAATAACTTGTTGCCCACATTATACTTAATACGCAAGAGTTGATGGTAAAGACGTCGGGTAATTATTTAACCCAATTACTAGTAAACGAAGCTCCGTGTGTCAATAAATGAAGAACCTTTTCAACTTTTTCAGTACACCGAAAAAAGCCGACATAAGGTGCATGTTAATTTGATGGTTATTCGAATTAACCTGACACACACTTTGACACTTTCCCGGATAAATCTGTTACCAATTAGGATCAAATTGCAAATTTTACACCATCAATTATGAAATTGATGGTTCTTAAGTATCCAATTACATGCTGTAACATTTTTCTTGTTTTTTTGGTTTCTTATGCAATCCCTAAGAGGGAAATTATTAGTTCTTTTAATATAACCATCTGTATTTAAAGTATTTGTGTTATTTAAAAAACAACTTTTACTTTTGTGAACAATTTTATGCATTATTGCGCAGTTTTCTAGAATGTTTATCTCGTTGTGTTATGTTAAACGATGTATAATTCAAGATGTAATCAGAAAAACTTAACACTAGCTTCTAAAATTCCTTTTTATACTTTGTGGCATAACCAATTACACGGAAGCAGTTTTGTCTTCGTGTAAGTATGCACTCGATCCGTTCTAAGCCCGACTTTCAGAGGAAATGCCAACTGTCAGTGGTGATCCACATTTGCGATTTGGGCGCCAGACATGTGTGTGATTCACATGCTCAAGTAAATCTCCCAGCTACCCAGCTTTACAGAACGAAAAATTTATCACATGCAGAGCCTAACATTAAGTTTTCACACATTAAATTGGACATGGAACCTTAGTTTTATTTTATATCGAAAATATATTTTTATGTGTTACACGATTTTAGTTTTCTTATTTTTAAATTCCCATTATATTTTTTTCAATTATAATTTATACCCGTAAGTTTTTGTTTGGAAACGATGAGATCAAACTTCGCCTTATTTTAGTAGCACAACTCCTTGACGGCTTACAAGCGAAAAACAAAGATAATCTATCTCGATTTAAACTTCATTAAAAATTTAAATTGATGTTTGACCAGTGCATTTTGGTTTGCCCACGATGCCTTTTTCTTCGTGTACCTTTCTACCCACTACCGCAAAGCAAGCCCAACGGAGCCAAAAGCCCTTCCTCCAAGCGGCTAACAATGTGCAACAACTTGTAGAATGGCCATAACAATTATAAAACACGAACACGAGCCGCCTGCGGGGCAATCCGAGGCGGGAAAAGGGAAGGAGGAGGCTGAAGGGGATAGGGGGAAGCGGGTGGTGGAAGGGGGCGGAGCGTGGGGCAATATCTGCGGAGACAGACTGCGGTCGGCAACTTGGATTACCATTACCTCGCCGGGTCATCCGGAGAATTCTGCGTCGAGCACTTGGCAGCATTCCCCGATGTCGTCGGTGTGTCGTGTATATCTTCTGGTGCGGCTTTTGAGGTGACAACTGCGACAGCTAAACGTCAATTTGTATAAATGTTTGCAATTGCCTCCGATGGCTGCGGTGGAAGCGTTAAAAATAAAACACTGAACGCTGAATAAAGCCTGATCGATGCGGGGGTCGCACGGGTCCTACCAAGAGTATCTGCCAGATGCAGAGAGTGGAACGGAACGAGGAGCAGCCAGAGAGCGAATCATAAATAAATATTTGCCGGTTTCTTTGCAATTTACATTTTCTCTGGTAGTCCGCGTATTTGTTGTTTGCCGTTCTGCCCCAAGTTTGTTGGCGTTTTTTGAGAGCGAATTCATCCAAACGAGTTTCGATTCGGCTGCGTATCTGCGAGATACTCTTCCCTCACCGCTCCCGCTCTTCGCTAATTGATTTATGAGATACTGCAGATGCCTCCAGCCACACTCTTTCGACACTCCGCAATAATCTTGGCTACAATGCGTGCGAGCCAAGTTATAAGTATGCAGAAAATGCGCCAATGTAATTTTAGAGATTCACTTGTGGGCGATTGGAATATGATGAGATTTTGTAAATATAATCTGCTGTAAATCTGATATTTTTACATCGAAATTACAACTAGATATTTTTAATTTCTTTCACAGTTCTGGTAAAACAAAACCGGAAATGGACACATTAATATTCATATATTTCATTGTTGCAGATAATGCAAAAAACATTTCTAAAAAATTTGTTACCCTAAATAGTCGTTAAATAGGTTTCTGTTTCAGTTATCTTTAGTTATTAAGAATAATAATGCATATATGTATGTATATTTAAAAATTTTATATTAAATTTGTTTAGAAAATTCTTTGTTATGAGAACACAGATTTAATTTAATTTTATAAAAGCAATTTAAGTTTCTCGTATTATGATAATATATTTGATATGTTCATATGTTATGTTCATATTGCTTTGGAAATAAATAAAAATATTATTTTCATTTTTCTTACTTTTTTTTTTTAATTTATTTACTTTAAGCTTCAATATGATAGGTATTGAAATGTTAAAAAGAAAACTAAAAAGCAGTCTTAATGGCATTTTTTTACAAAAGGCTTCAAAGGGGGTCAGTGAAGATGAATCTGATTGTTATAATTCCTGACAGCTTAACCATAATATCCACTTTGGTTACCGATGAGAAACTTCCGAAAAGTTCGAACAAGACCCTTTTATTACCATGGCACTGCAGAGCGTCACCCAAATCGAACATCTTTTGGGATAATTTGGGGAGTTGCGTGCAGCGCCCTGGGGGAAAGCAACTTTAAATGAGCTTCGGTTCAATTATCTTGGCCGAACTGAATAAACGATCCGGACTAATACAACGGCTGACGATGAAAGGGACCACTAAATGTGATAAATGAAGGTGGCATAAATATTCGGAGGAGGCCGAAGCCCAGCTGAGTGGTTCGACCTATATCGTGGGCTAGACATTAAAACCCGATTCCCCCCTTATAAGGCGCTTTTCCTTCTCCCATACTCTCTGTGTGGAAGAGAGAGTACTTTTACGATCGACACATGCAAGCAGAGACGTCAATGCACGGCAACAAAGTTGCCTCGCTTGGGGTTCTCGCAGAGATTGGCAAAACACATGGAAACCAAAGAGAAATTCGCACAGAGAGCTAGAGTGTGTGAAAGAGCAAGGCGTTTAGCACTGGGGCTCTCTCTAATTAATGGGGCAAATGCACTTTCCGCTCTCGCAGACCCGTTTCGCTCGATCACTCTCTTTCTCCCAAGATGCTTTCGTTTGCGTTCTCCGAATGCCAATCTTTTTCGAGCCTATTAGTTTGCAATAAAGGCGTGGCTACAAAAAACAAGTTTAATTGTCATTATTAATAAAACAAAAAAAAATTTTTCAAAAACATCAACGTCTTATAATTTTAGACTTGGCACTGGGATACACAATTTTTAAATGCTTTTAATTCGAAACTCTTATCGATCTTTAATTTAATTGCTTGCAACATACGACATTGATTGATTAATAAGCAAAACGAGTTTATTAGGTGTGTGAGTATGTTAACCTGCATTGAACACTTGAAGAGCGTATTAACTTTTTTGAATACGCCTTCTGGTTCGGTTATGGCCGTTTTCAGTACTTCCCTTTAATGCCCTTGTAAGTATGCAACGCACTTTAAAAAGCTGCAATTAGTGCTGGGTATTCTAAATGTCGGGCCAGTCAACTCAACTTAAAGTCTTTCCTAATCTAGACATGTCAACGTCATCTTGTGTGGTAATCGGATTATGTGAAGAACATCCAGCTGTCGAGCGAGTGGTTTATTTTTTTTTTGCGGTGCACCGAAGTGCAAATAGCAAGAGCATTGCGACGTCAGTCGGAGGGGCCTGCTCTGCGCCAGCCAGCAAACACATGCTCAGTTGAGGGTCCGCCCGTCCGCCTCAAGTCCGCCGTGCGTCCGTCCGCTCTGTCCGCTCTGTCCGCTCAGTCCGCTCTGTCCGTTTGCTTTTGGCTTGGTAGTCGGACTGGACCGGGCGCGAGTGCGAGTGTCGTGCGAAGAGCTTCGTGGCTCCGCAACCAGTTTGCCCGCACTGATCGTCCTTTGCGCTCGTGCAACCGCTCTGCTGCGTCTCGCGCGGTCCGCGTTCTGTGCTCGAAATCGCAGGCCCAACCGAACAGAACTGGAGCGGAATCAGGTCCAAAATTCTGCGCGATAGTTTGTTTAGTTGCTGTTCAAAGTCCGAAAATATCTCTAGTATGCGCGGACCTGCAGGGAACCAGATCGAGCCGCGAGTGCCATGCTGCTAAACAAAGTCTTTTGTGGCTGCAGTTTGTTCGGTTTAAGATAACAAATAAAGGGAATAATACAACATTTTTGCCGGCTTCACACTCTCACTCTCCTCGGTGTTGTCGGCAGATCTCTCGCTCCGAGTGCTATTTTCTCTCACATCGCTTGCATAACCCAGAGCAAAACACACCGCGCGCGGCCAGTTTGCAGATCGCAGATGCAGATACATTTACAAGATACTGCGTCTAGTAGTGGACCTGCAGATAGCTTGCGAGCATGCGAGTGCATGCGATTGCAATTGCAATTGGAATTGTCTCCGGTAAGTGAACAATGAGTTATGACCGCTCTGCTACCAAATGTGCCACCTCCGCCCCTCTGCGTTTTGCCGCCCTTTTGCCGGCTTCGGGGCGTTGCAAACTGCCTTGTAATTGCCTGACATAAATGCTCGTGTGCACAAGGCTTAATGGCGATAGCGGCAGGTACTCTCCGCGATTGCCATCTACAACCGCGGTACGGCGTTTCTGGGCCAGGCGGCGGTCGGCGGTCGTCTCTGGGGCTCCGGGCCATTGTCTGACTACCAAATTGAACAGGAAACGAGCAACAGGTCGTGGTCGCAGCCGCATTTAAAAGACTCCCGCATAGCGCCATGGGACTCTAAGACACCATTAGGATCGCCTTTAAGCGGTTGCGCGGGCGGTGATCTGTGATGGGGGCTTAAAAAGCAAATTGGACCGAAGTCTGAATGGTTATGAGGGAAATGCAAATGCCAGATACGGAAATTGCCTTGCTGAACACTACGTGGCAAAGACTGTGAATTCTTATTCAAATGAAAGTTCACCCAAGCCGGTTTTTGTCACTAGCAAGGCTTATAATCGATTATCCAAGGGGCACTACACACATAAAAATAACTCAAACAAATTGTTGTCAACTAAAGTTATTCAGAATTTATATTTGACAAGGAGCTTTTTTTTAAGTTGTTTATGAACAGTGTATTATTACACTTTAAACATTCTCGTCTAAATGACTTGCGTTTTTATGGTTCTTATATTCGAGCGGCGTACTAAAAGATAACAAAAACCTTCTATTAATATTTTATGCGATTAACTCTGGAGCCACACAATTGTGTAACGTTGTCAAGTGATCTTAAACTTAACGCATAAACTAGCCTATTAATACGCCACCTGCATAAACAAAATAGTTAATTAAAGGCAACAGTACGTATGAGTGATACACTTAGAAGCCAAAGCTCTCCCTAAAACTTTCTTCCCGCAACGATTTTGGTATTCATTAAAGCGGACAGTATAACCGGAGGAGAGAAGAATTGCAAAATGTATTATTCAAATTTATGTAATACATTGAAGTTGTAACTATTACTATTATTACATGCTAATTATCCTGACTTTGTATGCAATGGCATGTTATTATTTAATTTTGATGTTCTACATATTTGAATAATCGCAATTAGGCAAATTGGCTTCGACACAAGGCATGCATTTGGCTCTTAATAATATTCCAAGTTTTTTGTTTTTAATTTCTAAAATTTGTAGGTGCTTTTAAAAAAATGTTTTTCTGAGTGCGCAGTTGTAATGATCTTTACATACTCAATATACCTCACCTCACCTGCAATTATCATATAAACGACTTAAGGCGCTTTTGCCATTAATAACGCAAGGTTGGCCCATTAATAACCTGCACTGGGCTCTTATCGGGATCTCTTCCGCTTTAGACAAATTAAACGAACAGACATGCATAAGCCGCACGATTTTATGCTAACCTGTAATCAATTTTAATCCGCTTCTCGTCCCGCGTCTCAACACACATGTGAAAACAGTTTTCCCTTGATATTTTATAGATTCCCCCGATCCCGATCCCAATCCCGATCCCACTCGTCACATAATTAGCAAATATTGAATCGCCATTCCGCTGATAGGCTCATCTGTGTCTTTCTCTTTATGCGTCTCTTCGGAGCGATTCTTTCTCTCCGACAAGTCCCCACACATATACAAATTAGAGGCGACATGCAAGATAAGCGATCGTGTGCAATTTTTTAAACACAGAGGCAGAAGTAACAACATTTTGCCGTGGCTACCGGAGAGGCGGTGGAAGAAAGGGGGCGGGTATCTGGTGCTAGCACGAAATGTGAGACCCGTTATCAGCACATCTTTCATGCTCAATTTACCCTCTTTTTTAATATAGGTTATTAACTTTTTAGACTCAGGAATTAAGTCATTACGGCCAACCGAAATTGAGGTAAGCAAACACTTCATATCACTTAGTTAATAGCTTGTACTTCTTATCACTAGGGGCCTTTATTTTTGTCAATTTTTTTTCGTTATCTCTCTTTTATAACGAGCAGAAGTCGGTTCTAATCAATCGTCAAACATTTTATGTGTAAATCTGTATAAGCAAGTTCAATGAGTCACCCTGAAGTCAAACTAAGTGCAAATTAGATTAAACACGAATCAAACACGACAGCAGGTGTAGGGAAAATAATTCAAAATAGGTTGCAGAATCTTGAATTCTCTTCCCAAGCTTAAAATTACTATGTACACAACACATTACTGCATCAGGATAAATTTCGTCCTTAATTTATTCATAATAGGTGTCTTATAATTTAGTGTTGTTAAACACGCAAATTAAAATTACCCCTCCTGTATTTATCACTTTGTCAAGGTTAATAATGACTGCATAATAAAGAGTAATTTATAACTTTATTAGGGCGATGTCTGATCTTGCATAATTTACAAAAAAATATGTCTAGCTTTGGGCTTTCAATTTGTATAATTATTTTAATTTATATTTATGTGAATTATTTGCTTAATACAAAGTGATATATAATTCTTAATGCCAATACTTTAGGTGTTATAATTTTATATTTAACCCAATAAGATAAGGGGTATTTCCAATAGGCTACTTTGCTCATGTAGTTGTTTTCGAGTGTACAGAGGTGTTGGGAAGCTCCTTTGTTAGAACGTTGCACAAGCCTCGGAAAGACCACTGCTATCTACAAATATGCACATCACTCATACGCCCTTTAGAACGAAGAAATAACCAAAACAAAGGCTATAAAATTCGCAGCGCAAAGCGGGCGAGCAGAAATGCAAAGAGGCAATTAAAAACGAGGAAGGCAAAACTAAGCCGAGCGCACTGCAACGAGATCGAACTGCAACTCCAACGCGAACAGGTTGCAAGGCGACTGCAACCGGCAACACTACCACACACAAGTGCAGCGAAAGCGGCAACACCAACGAAAGCGGAAACAACAACGCCGCAGAGCCAGCCAATGTGTGTGAGGCTGCCTATGTACTCGTCCGTCCGTTTGTCGTCGTGCAGCCCCCACATTTCTCCAAATGCACGCGGCGTCGACTTTGCACAGTGGTCTCAAACATGGCGCTTATTAGCCAAAATGGAAAGCTAAGCCATATATTGGAGCTGTAAATTTTTAAGCATTTTATTTTAGGAAACGAAAATTTCGATAACAGCCAATTAAGATTAGGTAAGTGTTTTCGAAGGGAAAGGATAAAAATAAAAAAAAATATTTTAATTTTCATATCAGGAAAAGTTTACAAAAAGTAAATCTTATATAATATAAACTGTATTTACGAAACTACTTACTATTATCTGGGATAATTATTTTGAAAATATAAATTTGTGTATTCAATAAATAGGTTTTTATAGAGCCTCTTTTTTGTTTATGAAAAATATTATTATATGGGTGATTCCATATCAGATTTACAGTCGATATTGGGAAATTCGATGAGATATTTTTTTCATGCTCTTTATCGAAAATAAATCGACACGTATTTTTTTATATGGCTCAGAAAATTTTTTTGACAAAGTTATGATTTTTGAATTTTTGATGAACTGCCCTTTTTTTGATGACAGTCGCGTTTTCCAGCCCCAATAACTCGAAAACCGTACGTCGCAGAAAAAAATGAATAGGAAGTAAAAATTTCATCCTTCCTTCTTCTTTGCAAAACTTTCGTGAAAAAATTTTTTTAAACAATTTTTCACCACAAAAAGTTCAAATGTTTATAACAAATTAGTTTTTCTCCAACTTGGACATTTTTGATTTTTTTTTTTTTTTTCACAATAAATCCCTCAATTTCTTCTGATGAACATAGTAAAATTTCAGAATGGTATCAAAATTAGTTTTTGAGTTATAGAATTTTAAAGATTATCATGCACGGTCCGCGCGCTCGGTCTCAGGGCGTGCGCCGACCAACGACTCTAACGAGCGTCAATTCGCTTCGCGCGCGCATAGTAAGGGTCAATAAAATGAATTTTTAATGCTATTTAATTCTATAACTCAAAAACTAATTTTGATACCATTCTGAAATTTTAGTATGTTCATCAGAAGAAATTGAGGGATTTATTGTGAAAAAAAAAAAAAAATCAAAAATGTCCAAGTTGGAGAAAAACTAATTTGTTATAAACATTTGAACTTTTTGTGGTGAAAAATTGTTTAAAAAAATTTTTTTCACGAAAGTTTTGCAAAGAAGAAGGAAGGATGAAATTTTTACTTCCTATTCATTTTTTTTCTGCGACGTACGGTTTTCGAGTTATTGGGGCTGGAAAACGCGACTGTCATCAAAAAAGGGCAGTTCATCAAAAATTCAAAAAATCATAACTTTGTCAAAAAAATTTTCTGAGCCATATGAAAAAATACGTGTCGATTTATTTTCGATAAAGAGCATGAAAAAAATATCTCATCGAATTTCCCGATATCGACTGTAAATCTGATATGGAATCACCCATATATATTTTTGAATTTTAACCGTGATTTTTAAAATTGCAAATTTTTCGAGACTATTTAGAATATATTTTACATGTTAAAAAAAATTATAATTATTTCCCAAACAAGGAAACCGATCAAAAACGTTTGTTGCACAGCTTCAACCACCAACCGCGCTTTACAGGATTATCAAGGACTTTTGATCCACTGTGGTGTGGTTTGGGTGCGCTGCTCTTGCTCTCTCGATGCGATTTTCGGTTCCGTTTCGTTGGCGGTGCCCGCTGGCACGCAAACAGAGGCAAACATCTCACACACACACACGCAGACCGCGACACCAATACTGTCGCACTCGCCGACCGCTGTGCTCGGCGCTTTTGAGTTCTTTGCATCCGCGTCTTGCGGCCCAATGTGAGTTGCCTTGTGCATGCCAAAGATTTCAGATCGGTCAGCAGCAGCAGTATCAAAAAAGCTCGGCTCGCGACTCGCGGAACGTTTTTGAAATAATTCACGGATAAACACCAGATCTGAGCAGTCCTATAAATATTGATTTTTCACGCTACTATCGTGCTGACTTAATCGCCTAACTGGTCTGCAATCGAGTTCTTCAGCCGGTCGTTTTACCGGCGGCTTTTTGCAAGGCGCTCGCGATCGTGCAACACTTTAAGTGTGATTTTTTGTTTGTTGTGTGACGAATATTAATTGATATTTTAATAGATACAGCTAAGAGAAATTGTATAATCGGAATTGTGGAAAATAAAGTGTTAAGTGCAAGGTTATTTAAAGCTTACCATTTATTATATATCATCGAAAATACTCCGTCAAATACACCATACTTCTAAAACCAACGTATATGGATTTAACTTTAACTAAATATTAATTTAATATACTTATAACGTATTTGAAAATAATATCAAAAGAATTAAAAAAAAAATATATATAAACATATATATACGTTAAACAGGTGAATATAAGTTAAGATATTATACAAAGATAACAACATTTTACGAGTTTAAATAATCATAATGTAAATAAATTATTTTATTTTCCTATAGAGCACTAATTCAAAAAAAAAAAAAAAAAAAGTCGAACGTTTTTTAAAGATTTTTTTATTAAGTGAATTTTAGTTCTTGTCCAAAGAACTTCTATCCTGTAATTTGGGGTAGTATCAAAACGCGCGTCGATCGACACCTCACTTCAATTTTCACGAAATAATTTATTGCATACATTTTGGCGTACAGCAACGTTTACCACTATATCTCTATAAGATATTCTTGAATTTTTTTTCCGCATATCAACACTCTTCACATTATTTAAATGTGTTTTCGTCAAATAAAATATTAAAGGTACGTTTTATGTGCCATTTCTAATTTTTCCACAATCTTAAGACTTTTAACAACGGACTTTTGCTAACGTTCGAAAACAGATCTTAAAGCTAATATCATGCCAACTTAACTTTGATCTATGTAATTTCAAAAACTTTTTGACTAATTATGACCAAAGTCTGGAAACTGTTATCATACTTAGTAAAATCAGAAATGGCACCTACTTTTTCTTTAATATTATGTTTGTTGTAAACCTAAAAATGTTAAGTTATTGCTATACGACTTTTAACTTACCAAATTGCGTCTTTTGTATTTTTGAATTTTAAATACAATTTTAAAAAGTTTATTGCGAGTTCAATAAACATTTGACCCTAGTCAACTAAATTTTTAAACCTGTCCCGTAGCTATTTGCGCATCATCCAGAACCCTTTAGGTTACTTTATAAATACAAATATTGTGATGCGCATTCTAATTCTATCAACACAATGTATCTACACGTCTGACTCCGCCTTCGAGTTGTTTCTAATATCCAATACAAATCTAAACTATGTGTTTTTATGTAAATGGGGCGTGGCCGATCAAATCAAAATTCTTTTTTACATTTGATTGCCTTATAACATGCAACATCCCACGGCCAATCGCCATGCCTTCACTTTTCACTGCCTGCACTCATTTACTTAATATTCGGAGTGAGGTGTACGCTCAACTATTGCAAACATTTTGTGGCGTTAAAAATACAAATGTATTGTTTGGCACACCTAACGGAGCGTGCAAAAAATAAGGAAAACAAAACTTTCTCAATCGATAATAAATATTTGTGCCTGCAGGTGAAAATATATGAAGGCATTGGAATTGCATCAGCCGAGTAAGAATTTAGTAGTATATAAATAGGACGGATGCTCGTTAGAAATTTGTTTACCTCAAAACAAAATCAAAATATTACATCTTTGACCAAACACTGTACAAACAATTAAATAACCAATGAACATGTTTTCGTTTCAGGTGCTTACAAATTCAAATTCATTCAGCGAATTATAAAAAGTGAAACTAAGGTCTAAAACTTCTCAATAGTATACAGACAAGCAAATACAAACCTATATACCAAGACTTATCATTAATCAAATTAAGGTTTAATCGCAACTTGAATATTTAAAGTTCCCAACTAATTAGAGTTGCATTCAAATTATTATTTAAATGTTGAACAATTACAAGTCGCAGAGATTAAGCTCTAATCAAAAGTGAAGCGGCTGCAGAAAATGCTTCTAAAACTGGCTTAAGGCACGGCAAGTAAATTGAGATACTCGAGTCTTTAAACAGGATACAAGGCAGTGCAGACATGGTTTCGGAGGAGAACTGGAACAGCGACACAATGTCCGACTCGGACATGATCGACTCGAAGAACGACGTGTGCGGGGGAGCCTCCAGCTCCAGCGGGAGCTCCATCTCGCCGAGGACTCCGCCCAACTGCGCCCGCTGCAGAAATCACGGGTTGAAGATCACCCTGAAGGGACACAAGCGGTACTGCAAGTTCCGCTACTGCACCTGCGAGAAGTGCCGCCTCACGGCCGACCGCCAGCGAGTGATGGCCTTGCAAACGGCCTTGAGGCGGGCCCAGGCGCAGGATGAGCAGCGGGCACTCCACATGCACGAGGTGCCGCCCACAGGTTCGGGGGCTGCCTCTTTGTTGGGCCACCACCACCACGCCGCTGCCCCCCGCCCACGTCCACGCCCACCACGTGCACGCCCACCACGCCCACGGCCACCATTCGCATCACGGCCATGTCCTGCACCACCAGCACTCGGCGGCCGCAGCAGCAGCAGCCGCTGGAGCAGCACCCGCGGCTCCGACCTCCCATTTGGGTGGCTCCACTGCGGCAGCTTCGAGTCTCCATGGCCACGCCCACGCGCACCACGTTCACATGGCTGCCGCCGCAGCCGCCTCGGTGGTGCAGCACCAGCACCAGAGCCACCCGCACCACCACCACCAGCACCACCACCCGCATCCGCAGCAGCCACCGCCACCGCAGCAGCAGACGACGCTGCGATCGCCACCGCACAGCGAGCACGGCGGCAGTGTGGGACCGGCCAGCAGCAGTTCCGGCGGAGGAGCGAGCAGTTCCATCAATGCCGCAGCGGCCACCTCGAGCAGCGGTTCCAGCAACGGCGGCGCTGGCGCTGGCGGAGGCGGAGGCGGAGGAGGAGGAGGAGCAGGAGGCGCCACCGCGGCTAACGGAGCAGGAGGCGGAAGGTCAGCGGGCACCTCGGTGATCACCAGCGCCGACCACCACATGACCACGGTGCCAACGCCCGCGCAGTCGCTGGAGGGATCCTGCGACTCGTCGTCGCTCTCGCCGTCGTCCACTTCCGGTGCCGCCATTTTGCCGATCTCAGTTTCCGTCAATCGCAAGAATGGCGCCAATGTGCCCCTGGGTGAGTGCCTTTTAATTATACCATATACATTCTTGTGTACCAATTTGTACTCGAAATCAAAACCTGCTTCGTTGTGGTAAACCAAAGAGGATCCCCCCTTTATAAAACCGGAAAACTTTAAGGTTATCTTAGGAATGAAATGGTAGCTACAAGTATGTGTTCTTTATAGGGGAAAATCAATCTTCAAATGGCGGTTTAAGCTTATAATTTGGGAAAAATTTAGAAATCTGTGAATACTGAGGGTGCTTAAAAATAATATGGAAAGTAACATTTATTTTTAAAAATTTAACAAATGATTTTGGGAAACAGTGTTGTTAGTAAATTAGCAGGAGGATGAGTTTCCATTTTAATTTGGTTATATAGACTTTTTGATTAGAAAAAATTTGACTGCATCGAAACAACAAAATTAAATTAATATAATATAATAGTGGAATTTTATGCATGAACCAATTTACTTTGAATACAACACATATTTAATGGCTTAAAATGTTTTTCGTTTTAAGTTTTGGAATAGATATAGAATACATTATATTCTTATTGTACGCGAATCAGCATTCTTAGAATTAACTCATCCTTGTCCTTTTACTGTAAGAAAAGAGTTTTCAATAACGACAATAGGTTACTTTAAAAACTGAAAAGCAGATATGCAACGTAGGTTTAAAAAACTCTTTAAGCGGCTCACTTACATGTTAACCTTTATAGGATTACATATAAATAAATGTAATATAAATATAGTGATTGATTACATTTTACGAGAGAGCCAAGCCAAACTAGCATGAAATATCAATTTCAAAAATCCACTGAATCAACTTGTCAAGGTATTAAAATCAATTTGAGCGCTATTATTGCTATTAGTTCTTCATTAAACCAGCATACCGACCGTAAGTGATCTAGCACTAGTCTATTAAATTTAATTAAAGTCATGTTCTTTGTTGTTTCTGTCATGTAAAGTCGCTCTGTTCGATGGCTCTAAGGACTGAATGATGAATCGTGTAACTTGCTTTATCTGTGATCTTTGCAAGTTTCTAGCCGTATTTATGGCTCATTTAGTAAAGTGCAGAGGGAAAATTGAAAATGAAAAACCCAAAGAAAATTGCACAGTATTCTCATCCTGGCCCTGTCCACACAGAGGAGTCTGGCAAGGAGTGGCCGTGCATCTCGCGCCTCTAAATGATTGCCACCTAATTATAGGCCGCACAATGCCGCCGCTGGGAGCAACGAGGACAGATCCATGAAAGTCGCTGCGTCTCGACACGTACCACGGGCATCTGTGGCAGAGACGCCTCCGACAGAAGGCCTAATCAAGTTGTTGTTGTTCTCGGGGCCCCAGACTAGTAAACAACAAAAACAAACCGACGGGAATGCCATGCCAAATGGATTCGACTCGTAGATACCCATTGCCCAAGATATCCTAAATCTTTGCAAAGGATTAAATGAGCAGAGTTAAAATTTAAAAATTATTAGAGCCATTCAAGCATTCCTTTTTAAGACTTACTTAAAATAATCCCCTTATTTGGCAAAGCAGCTCTGCCGAGTTAATATGAAATAGTACATGTTTTTTGGAACTGAAAATAATAACTATTTTTTGGAAAATATTTTCCTAACCTAAGCTACCTGAAATGTCTTGTTAAATAAGAAGGTTTTAGCTTAATAATTTCAGACCCTTTTGTTGTATTTGCATAATTTTTAAAATACATCTTAGCACGCTTCCAAGGTACCGAATTGCTTAGAAAACCGGGCCTACAGCCCACGAAAGCGTCGAAATGCCTGAAAAGGCAGGCGTAGTGGCGTCGGTGACGGCGCATGTAATAATCAATTAACATTGGAACAGCAAGCTGTCAACAGTTGGCACCTGAAGGCACTAGAGCCGCCTATTCTTTATTAAGTGATTTGATCACTGGGGGCTAAGGCGGTTAAGGTTAATTTATGTCTGGGAAACACAAAAAGAAACGGCGGAGATCTTTAAATATTTTTGCGATGATTCTAGGCATAATTGTGAAAACATTATATAGAAATTGCAGCTGTTCATAATTTAATAGTTTGCCTACATACTATAGAAAATAATTTGTTTCGAAAACATGAAAAGTCTACCCTTTTTGATCGGAACCTTCAACAAATACATTTTTTTTAGATTCATAATTTCTTCATTGGAGAGCCTACTCCCTAATAAAGTAATACCACTGATTTGCAAATAGTCAGTGTCTTTAATGCCTTGTAGACACACATAAACGGAGAAACAAGCATTTATGAATAATTTCCTTTATTAAGTAAGCCATTACTTTATCCGTTGATTCCTTGTGGCCGGCATTTATGGTCGCAGTTCCCAAGAACTTAGAATTTCAGTATCGCAGGGCCGTCGATATAAAAGCTCATTAGCGGCTGAATTCCGTCTGGGGGTGTGGAATCCGTCGAATCAGGTGCAATGAGGGCCATCCAACGCTCTGCTGGCCACGTTCCCCTAATTGCATTGTGGCACACAACGCGGCATACAAATGCAGCATAAACTACGGACAATTACAAGCCAACCTGTCAAGACAATCCAACAAAACCATCCATCAAAGCGCTAAGCAGGCATGAAACTTTTTCACAGTTGCATTTCTTCCACTCGCCGATGACTTCTTTATGCATATTATCACCGCGAAATGGCAGCCAGACATGGATCAGACATTACAGCGATCGTTTAGCAGTTTAGCATAAGTGCAGCAGACAATGCGGCCGCTGTCTGTCAACCGCTGGTTGGCAGTTCGTCAATCAATTGACCACAACTCATCCTCCTCTTTAGCTCCGAAATCCGAAATCTGAGTGGCTACGGTAGCCAGGTTGTGGCACCGATGTCGACAAACGTGTAAACTTATTCGTAATCTCCGTCGCCGGCGCACGGAGCTAACTAACCCGTCTTCAAACAGGAACCGAGATCTGGTTTTCCTCGCTGGCAACTTTGTTGCAAATTTTCCTGGTCGCCCAAAACAAGTTGGACGGCTCATTAGTTTGGCCTGCTGCCCACACTGCAGCTGCCCCACTCCGGAATTAGTCATGCCGGCTTCGACGTCGACCCCGACTCCGACTCCGACTTCGACTCACCTCCAGCCGAGAGGTTATACACTTGGCGCTTTTCCATGGCTCTCCCGATCCTCCAGTAGATTCAGTACCTCCAGTACCTCGAGCTCTGGCACTCCAGCACTTTTTCCTGCCCAGGGGTATCATTTTGTCATTAACTCTGATGGGTATCATAACCCACCGATAATGGTTGAGTGCCCATATTGTAGGACAGTCTATAGCCGCGGTATCTGCTGGCCGTTCCTTCCTGCGACTATCCTTCGCCCGAGATAATTTTAAAAACATCAGGTTCAGGTCACTTTAATTCGATTAGTGCTTTTTAAACATCTGGTTGGACCAGTAACAGATTTAGACTGCAATTATATCGTGTTCGAGTTGAGCGGCAATATTTACCCGAAGAGATGGAAGTAAAATCGATTGAAATTCCTTATACACAGTTTTGTTACATTGTTTGGACGTAAAAATAAATAGAAAAGAGTTTATTTCTTGACTAGTTTTGATAATAAATGGAATCCAGCAGTTTTACATTTGATTAAACATTCTAATCCAAAATAATTTAGGGGATTAGGTTCCTAATAAATTTATTTGTAATATAATACATTTATTAAAGTGTAAATTGAATACATAGTTTGAAGTTTATTAGTTTTGGTTGATGGCATACACGTTTTATTTCCAAATGAAATCAATTAATGCCAAGCTACAAGGCAAAGATGAGGCACAGAAAAAGGCACACCTTTAAACGTAAATAACTTTTAAACTTTTATTAAAAATATATAATGGAAAGACATAAAACTGGAAATGCTTCAAACCCGATAAGTATCCGGGGAGCTCACAAAGTCAAGGTAACCATGACCGGCAATCGATAAACTTCGACTTCAGTTAATTAATTTAATGGGTTGTGCTAATTTCGGGCTCTTAAGACAGGCAGCACTCTTGGCCAGGCCCAAAGGCCCGGAGCAGACCATCTCTTAGTTGTCTGTCTAGAACATTTAGTGCCGCCAATTCGGCTGAAAAACCCCTGGCAAAAAAAAAAAAAAATAAAAGAGAAGAAAACAAAAAACTTAGCTGCGCTCGTAAAATAAAGTTGTAAAATGTATTTTTGGTATATTTTGCGGGCTCGTACATTCTGCCCGATTTTGTTTTCGATTTCGATTTCGTTTCAAATGGCCCGCACACTCGTTTTTGCCGGCTTCCAGCTGGAGAGCGTAGTTTGCATTTTTATTATTTCTCATATTTGAGAAATGTGCTCGGGAGCAGCGCTTGGCAACTTTGACAGGTCATTTGGTTGGATAATTTACGAGATTTCCAGTTAATATGTTGGCATTACTTTTAATACTCTTCGCCGGACTTTGTTCGCGATGCTTTTCGGACTGCGCCAAGTCGGGATTATACCTATGTATACTACATATATTCGCCGCCCGGAATGGGGCTTAATTATATGGCCGGAATCTATTCAGGAAGAGACCACAAAATAATATTGCTCGACACGAACAATAAAAATATGGTTTTCTTTTTTCGCAATTAAAGTGGTTTTTACGAGCAGAAAATTAGTGTAGTCGAAGTTCGCCAAGTGGCCTCTGGACCCTCCAGAATGGCTCTAAACACGCGGCAGCTGCAACTGATAAAGGCAAAGGCAACGGGCCCGTTGGCTAAAGCATCCCTTGTTGGCAGTATTTACAACCTGCTAAAGTCATTTGCATCGGAATACAGGCATAATCAGCTCTCATCCAACAGGCACCAATTAGAGGGCTCTCAACAAAACCCAGCCCACATTTCTGGCCAAGTTCTAAGTCCAACATTATTCAATTGAGGTGCATTCTCAGATCGCGGGTCATTAACTTTCGCACTTGGTTTTTTTTTTATTATTTTAAGTTCAACCTTTTTGTGGCCGTGAAAGCGGATCCTCAAAAAAATATAATCATCATGTGTGAAGATCGAACGGC